AATGCTGCTGTGCAGTACTTCTTTTTGTCAAATGCTGTATGTATGACATTAACCACTCTGTGTACTTGCTCTATTGTACTGTGTTTTTTTTCTAAAACCAAATTGATATTCCGGAATTAGTCTCCTTCTATTGACAATGGGCATTAATCTGGTAAGAAATAAATTTTCCAACAACTTTGACATAACCGGTAGAAGACTAATTGGTCTATATGACTTAACATCTTTTGCCGTTTTCCCAGGTTTGAGTATCATGGTGATTTGAGCCACCTTGAATTGGGGAGGGATAAAGCCTTTTGTGACAATAGAATTAAAAATATTTCGCAGCAGTACTATTGCTTCATCCGGTAACTCCTTTAATATTTTTGAAGTAATTAGGTCATAGCCGGGTGCTTTATTTATTTTTAGTTTTTTGATTTCGAATTTTATGTCGAAAATGGAGAATTTTTGTAATGGAAGGTCCAGTTGGTGCATTTGCTGTAATATCTCTCTAATCTCTTCAGTTATACTATTTGGGGCTTCATTAATGTTTGGAATAAAAACTGAAGACAGATGGTCCGTAAATACTTTGCATTTTTCTGTATCTGTTCGGGCCCATTGCCCAAGTTCGTTTTTTACTGGTGCATTGTGCGTTGATGTCTGTTTCTTGATTGCTCGCCAGAGAGAGTAGTTGGTGGAATTAGTTGCATCTAGTCTTTGGAGATTTCTTCGTATTTCCAAATTTCTGGTTGTTTTCAGATGTTCTTTTAGATTTTTGATCAGCACATTAAAAAGTTTTTTATCTTTCGGAGATTTGGTTTGTTGCCAGCGCCTTCTCGCTGCTCTTTTGGCTCTTATAAGTTTTTGAGTCGTACTACATAATGGTGTGGCGAATTGTTGCATGTGTGAAGGCGTGGATCTCCAGGCTGATTGTTGAATACTCCTTATAAGATGTTCGGTTGCAAGCGCAATTTCTTCGTCTGTTTTAAGCGCCATTTTTTCATCAAGTAATGCCTTAAGTGTATGCCTAAAGGCATCCCAGTTGGTTAATTTGTTGTGCAGATAACATTTTTGAACTTTAAGTTGTATATTCGATTTTATCCGTAATAATACTGACGAGTGATTTGATGAAAGATCAAAGCTAGACTTACAGAAAGTGTCGTTTTGTCGCACTCCTTTAGTAACACAAAAGTCTAACAAGTCTGGCATTTTTTTTGGGATCCGTTTGCCAATAAGTTGGTTCTCCAGACGAGATAGTTGAAAGGTTTTCGCTTCTTATAGCCGCAAGCATCTGTCGTCCTTTGGGTGTTGAAAGCCGAGAGCCCCATTCAACGTGTTTAGCATTAAAATCTCCCCCGCAATAAATCTGTTACCTAAGGTTCTAAAGAATTTTTTATATGTTGCCGTCTTAGTTGCGTGTTTTGGTGGACAGTATACTGATGTTATTGTGATTGAGCCACACCAATCTTTTACTGATATGCTGGTTGTTTGAATCTCTTCAGTGCGGTATTGTTGCATTTCAAAGTGTAATATATTTGTTTTAACTAAAATGCCACTTCCCCCATGAGCCGTTCCATCGGGATGCATAGTGTGGTAAAAGTCATAGCCTGGTACTTTAAAATAATGTTTTGAAGTAAAACGTGTTTCAGATATTAGCATGATGTCTACTTTTTGATCTTTTAAAAATTCTTGTAACTCTAAACAGTGTTTTGACAGCCCATTCGCATTCTAGACCACTATATTTAATTCACTGTCGGACATAATTTAGTCGTCAGCGTGACAAGAACATTCATTAACGTGGTGATTTGTTCTAACATTTACTTAACTACTATTAGAACTTCGCTCATGGTATCTGGAGATTTAGGAATAGTATGAGATTTAGGTGATTGTTGCACTAGCACACTAGTGTAATGTACGCCAATTATTGATGAGTATTTTCGCTAAGGATATTTAGACGCCGATATTGCTTGGCGATCCTTTAGCTAACATTAATTGGTATTTATTAAAACTCAAGTAAGTTTTGCTGTTTGGAACTTAGTGCGCTTCTTATGAGTGCACTTCTAGTTCTGATTTTTATTTAGTTTTCTACTTTCAACTTAACCTAGGTACATAACGACGCAGCGTATGTACTTTCTTATTTACTAAATATTTTATGATTATTATGTATTTAATATTATTTATATTAATATTTATTTATATTTATGTACAAAACGACGCAGCGTAAGTACTTTAATATTTAATAATTTATTGCTAAGTAAGCGTATTCGATTCCACTTGTATCGAGTACGCTTACTGTTGATGTTGTTGTATATGCGGTCAATGCCTGGCAAGCATATGGTTATATCGAAGGCAAAGTGCCGCCGATATGTGTCGTGTCAAATTCCTTGTGTGGAATTGTGCATTTGTTTGTAAACAATGCAATGCGCTTGGAAACAATTAGTGTATTTTTGTATACATTGCACATTTAAATATAGAACCACTTATTATTATATTAATTGTATGCATTGCCAATATAACTAACGCATATACATTACACCTCCTTTTTGGGAAAGAATAATGCCATAACGGGATTATTCTTACTTTCTTAAATAAAGTTTTAATTTTCAATAGTTTTATATAATTATATTTAGTTTAGTTATATTTATTTGTGTAATCACTACATTTATTTTAACTTATTCATTGTACAATTTTATTCTATTAGTATGTACTAATTGCTTCTTATTTTTATTGTTTCTTATTTCAATGTTTCCATTGTTTTCTATACTTTCTATTCTATAGGGACCCGTGTATTGACTATCTAGCTTATGACCTACTTCATTCCTAAGTAGTACTTTATCTCCTATTTTTAATTCTAATTGTTCACTATTTCTATCATAGAGCAACTTCTGTTTTAATTTAGACTTATCTAAAAGTGTTTTGGCTCTAGTGTGCGCTATTTCTAATCTATATTTAATTTCTTTACTATAGTCATCTACATTATATAATGGACTTATGTTACTAATTGTATTGAATTTATTGAAACCTTTAGGAATTTTTCCAAAAATAAGCTCGTATGGACAATATCCATGCACCACTGATGGTGTTGTATTGAAACAATATGTGAAGTATTTCAACCATATATCCCAGTCGTTTTTATCGACTGATATGTATGAACGTACATATTCATTAAATGTTCGGTGACTGCGTTCTACAGTTCCGAGTGTTTGATGGTGATGAGCTGTTGATGTTATATTTTTGATTTTTAAGTATTTGCATATATCCGTTATTAAAGAATTTTTATACTCTGTACCCATGTCCGTAATGAACGTCTTCATTGGACCGTATAAAAGTATAAAATTTTCAAAAATTGCCTTGGCTACAGTATTTGCACTTTTATTTGGTATTGGTATAGCTACTAAGTATTTTGTTAAATCACATATAAGTGTGACAGCATACTCATTGCCATTCTCAGTTTTAGGTAATGGACCAATGGTATCTACCAATACTGTGTCAAAAGAGCCTGTTGGCGTATCAGTTATTGTCATTGGTATTTTTGTATGATTATGAATTTTAGATTTTTGACATTTCTGACATGATTTGACATATCTTGATATATCTTTGGTCATGTTTGGCCAATAGAAATGTCTTTTAATTTTTTGTAACGTTTTTGTTATTCCGCAGTGTCCACCTTCCACTGGGTCATCATGGTAATTTTTTAAAGTTTTTCTTATTTCTTCCTCTTTAACCAGGTTGGTCACCTTTGGCAGTAGCGCTACTGTTAAATTTTTCAATAATTTATTGCCCTTGGCCTTAAATTCATTTATTGAGACAAATTCGAAAATTTTCTCACTAGGTGCCATTTGTACTTTGTTGATGCGATGTTTGTAGGTTAATTTCTCTAACCTTGGGAATAATTGTCCTAAGTCAATTTTCCCATTGACAAACAGATCATCAATTATTATTTTTTCAATAATTTTATTTCCACGTTTTAAATAACAGTGGTTAGAAGTCAATTTCAATTTTATTTGTTTTCTGACGTCAGTACTATTAATGACTTCGTATATATGGGGCTTTTCGTACTTTAATTGTTGGTCGAGGGTATTTATTTCTTTATTTTGTTTGGTGCTTGATCTAGTTCTCATTTTGAGAATCTTTATAGATTTTTCATTCATATCTTTAAAATCGTCTATCGTAATTCTTGATAGAGCATCGGCAATATAATTTTCTTTGCCTCTGAGATATTCCACTGTGAAATCGTATTCTTCGAGATCTAATCTCATTCGAGTTAGTTTTGAACTCGGGTTTTTCATTGAGAAAAGGTAGGTTAATGGGCGATGGTCAGTCTTAATTAAGAAATGTGTACCATATATATATGGTCTAAAATGTGTTATAGCCCAATGAATTGATCGAACCTTGGCCTATACCGCTGAGGGTTGTTACCTCAAATTTATTTACTTCATATTTATCTACATTTGCGATTTTTAGTAGAGACACGTCTGCTCCTGTATCTACTAATAGAGTTAGTAATTTATTAGTGGCATTGTTAAAAAAATTAACAAACACGCCCAGGTTAAGGTTTAAGCTATATATTGTGTTATGTTTTAATCTCTCAGAGGCTGGTTCAGGTTTTCCGAACCAATATTGTTTTGGTTAGTACCATTATTAGTACTAGTTATTCTAACATTATGTTGGATCCTACGGTTATTTCCGCGTCCTCGCTGATTTCCATATTGATTAGAGTTATTGTATTGTCTCTGCCTATTGTAGTTATTATTTCGGTAGTATCCTCTACCTCTAAAATTTCCATTCACGCGATTGTTTTCGTGATAATTATTTGTATTTTGACGCTGTGTAAATAGAACAGTGTCTGTCCGGCCAGTAGCATCCGTGCAGCTTTCTACAAATTTTTGTACCGCATCGTTCAAATTATTGAATTGGCCTGACTTCATAATTAGTCTGACTTCAGGAAGTGTACAATTTTTAACCATTGCATCTACAGATGCCTTAGTTGAATATTGTATAGCTATTTTTGGTGGTACCCCATCCGAAATGTAAGCACCTTGAATTGCTTTAGTTAATTGCTCAACTTCTTTAGTATATTGGTTGGCAGTTTTGTTCTTCTGTTGGAGATTCATTAATTTAGCAGTTAAGACTGCAACCGATTCTCCTTTGATATTTGTTTTTAAAGTATTTATTATGGCTAATATCGAGTTTTCGGTGGTTATTATTTGCCTAGCTGTACCTTTTAATTTAGTTTTTATTAAAGTAACTGCCAATCTTTCATGTTCTCCTTTTAACTCATCGACCATTTCGATACCGTTAAGGAAACTTTGTAGATTGGATGCAGTTCCGTCATACTCAGGAATGAGTCGTGACGCTGTACTAATAAATTGGTCAGCTGATTGTGCCATATTTGTAACGTGGTATTTTTCTATTTCTGATGAATTTTCAAAGGATTTTACTGACTGATTTTATGAAAAATTTTTCTAACTATTTCATTCGCATAGTTAATTATTCTATTATGTTTCTTCAAATGATTGTCTAATTTCTGTTTAGTTTTGCAGCTTTTGCCACATACAAAACAGTTAAAAGTTTTCATTTTGACGAATCTAAGTAATTTTAGAATATTTTGAGAAATGTTGATTTACGTGCTGTAGATAGGCAGCATCTATATTTTTTCTAATACAGTAGCGATATTTGCAGTTTTTACAAAATTTTTCTTAAGGGATCTACGATGAGCCTTATACAGTTTTAGAGCTAAGTTTGCACTAAGCAAAATTATTATTATTACGAAAAATTTTGTTGGGTCGTAAGATTCTTTTCTATTAACTTCTATTTCGTTTACTACGTTAGCTACAGGTTTATTTATTTTCGATTGAGGACTCCCCATTGTAAAATAAGAAACAACAATGAAAAAGAATATCAATAGTAGAGAGAGACAAAAATTAAAAATCAAAGAAATACCGTAGTGATTAAACAATTAAAAAAAATTTTTTTTTTTTAATTCAAAACATACTTTATAATATGTTATAATTTTTAATGCAAAATATATATATATAATTTTTTAATTTAAAACATTTAATTTAAAGATTTTTTTTTTATTTATCAAAACAATAATCAAAGTAATATAAAATTTACATTATCCCTACCTATGGTTTTTGGCAACGGCTTAACGCCATGTTGTGCCTCTATTGGTTTGCTCTTTAATTTGATAGAGCAAGCTCCATTACAATTATTTATAAATTATAAAAAAAATATTATACTTATTTTCCGCTTGTCTCGTATGATGTCATCTATTTGAAATTGCAGTTTCCCACGATGGTGGTAATTCTTGTTGATTTATTATTGCTGTTGCTATAGTTGTTGTTATTGCCGGCTTTTTCCGTTCTTGCACCCATCCTGGATTTTGGTGCTACAGGAATAGCTGTGAGCCATGTAATATTTCCATATAACATTCCTTGATCGTGAGACGTTTTTTGGCCCTGGTGCATTGGACATGTGTCATTTTTTTTTATTTTATTATATTTATATTTAAATATATATTTTTAAAATGAGCACATAATCCTGCACCAAAGTCACGGTCGCCATGTAATGTACGCCAATTATTGATGAGTATTTTCGCTAAGGATATTTAAACGCCGATATTGTTTGGCGATCCTTTAGCTAACATTAATTGGTATTTATTAAAACTCAAGTAAGTTTTGCTGTTTGGAACTTAGTGCGCTTCTTATGAGTGCACCTCTAGTTCTGATTTTTATTTAGTTTTCTACTTTCAACTTAACCTAGGTACATAACGACGCAGCGTATGTACTTTCTTATTTACTAAATATTTTATGATTATTATGTATTTAATATTATTTATATTAATATTTATTTATATTTATGTACAAAACGACGCAGCGTAAGTACTTTAATATTTAATAATTATTTGCTAAGTAAGCGTATTCGATTCCACTTGTATCGAGTACGCTTACTGTTGATGTTGTTGTATATGCGGTCAATGCCTGGCAAGCATATGGTTATATCGAAGGCAAAGTGCCGCCGATATGTGTGGTGTCAAATTCCTTGTGTGGAATTGTGCATTTGTTTGTAAACAATGCAAAGCGCTTGGAAACAATTAGTGTATTTTTGTATACACTGCACATTTAAATATAGAACCACTTATTATTATATTAATTGTATGCATTGCCAATATAACTAACGCATATACATTACA